CGGCGCAGCCTCCGAAGGCCCAGTCCCGCCCCCCAGAGCCCTCGTTCCCGCCCCAATAGTCCCGTTTATGGCCCCGACCCCATCCCGTGGCTCCGCCCTGTCCCGTGGCCCCGCCTCCCGGCTCCCCGAGGCCCCGCCCACCGGAGCCGCGCGTCCCCGCCGCGCTCGACCCGCGCGAGGCCCCGCCCCCATGCCCGTCCCCGCCGCTGATAGGCCCCCTGCAGGCCCCGCCCCCCCGGCGCGGCCCCGCCCCCGCGCGCCCCCGCGGCCGGCGCGCCCCCGCGGCCCCAGCGCGGCCCGGCCCGGCCATGCCGGCCAAGAGGAAGCCGGTGCTGCCCGCCCTCAACATCGCCCCCAGCGCCGCCGAGGGGCCCAGCCCCGACGGCTCCGCAGAGTGAGTCAGGGCCGGCAGGGAACGCCCCGGCCGCGGGGGGGGCCGGGCCTGGCAAGCGGAGCGGGCCTGGGGGGGGACACTGGGCCTGAGGGGGACACAGCGCCCTGGGGGGGACACACCGGGACAGGGAGGGGACGGGGACTGGGGGGAGCCGGAGCGGGGCGGGCTGGGGAGACCGCAGCAGAGCGGGCACTAGGCCTGGGGGGCCGGGCCGGGGCGGGGACGGGGCCTGTGGGGGGGTGGGACAGGTCTGGGGGCGAGCAGGGAACAGGCTTGGGGGGCTGGGGACAGGTCTGGGGGGCTGGGACAGAGTCGAGGGGACCAGGAAGGCCTGGGGGATTTGGGACAGGCCTGGAGGGGCTGGATGGGCCCAGCCCGGGGAGGGGCTGGGGTTGGGCGAAGGGTCAGGGAGCCAGAGCTGGAGGGGTGGGTTGGGGGCAGACGGGGGTGGGATGGGCAGGGGGGAGGCTGGGCTGGTCCCTGGGCTTGCTGGGGGGTACTTGGGGCCTGGGGTGTGAGAGAACCGGGCCTGGGGTGTGCAGGGAACAGGCCTGGGGACACAGGTTGGAGCTGGGATGGGGTCCTGGGGTTTGGAGGGGAGGGGATTTGGGGCATTAATGGGGGCTCAACAGACAGGACGTGTGTAGAGGGGACAACAGAGCCTCGTATCAGAGCACCGGGTGGGAGGGATGGGGTGAGACCCTCCCGTGGGTGAGGGGGGGACAAGGGGGTGGGCAGCAACTGGGAGAGAGCAGCTGGAGCCCTCAGCAGGTGCTGGGGGAGCACAGCCACCCCTTTGTGCTCGGGATTTGGGGCTGGGGGGGCTGCTGGACCCCGTGGAAAGCCCTTCTCGTGTTTCTCAGCGAAACCCAAGCTTGGCTTCCCGGGACAGGGAGCGGTTGCTGTGCTGCCTCTTTAAGGATTGAAGGATTTTCCCTACTCCTTGGGCTCTCCCAGAACAGCTGACTGCTCCAAAGCTGCTCTCCAGAGGAGATGTGTGTGTTGGGCAGGGATTGGAGCCGGGCTCTGCCTCTCCCTGGAGCTTTGCTTTAGCCCTGCTGCTCTGCCAGGGGGCTCAGGACGTGTCAGGGAATGGTTTTAAGGCATTCCCCTAAAAAAATGAAACCTTTCCCCGCTGCTGAGCATGCTCCCATCTCCTCCTCCCCTCCTCAGGGCGAACCTGGTGGACCTGCAGAAGAAGCTGGAGGAGCTGGAGCTGGATGAGCAGCAGAAGAAGCGCCTGGAAGCTTTCCTCACCCAGAAAGCCAAAGTGGGAGAGCTCAAGGACGATGACTTTGAGAGGATCTCCGAGCTGGGGGCTGGAAACGGCGGCGTGGTCACCAAAGTGCAGCACAAACCCTCAGGGCTCATCATGGCACGGAAGGTAACGAGGGGCTGGGCAGTGTCTGGGGCTCTCCCTGGCTCTGGGAGGGCTGGTTTTGGTTGGATTCTCCCTGTTTTGGTTGGATTCTCCCTGTTTTGGTTGGATTCTCCCTGTTTGCACCCTCACCTGGGTCAGGAGCACGGTCCTGGCAGCCCCCAGGCAGGTTTTACACGGATCCTGTCTCCAAGTCCTCCTTTGGGAGAGGCCTCTGCGACGGATCCCTGGGGTTTGGACACTCTGGTGTGAACACATGAGGTTATTTTTTTTCCCAGTGAAGCTGTTTTTGATGGATAAACTGGCCAGAAGCAGTTGGAAGGAGATCCCTTGAGGGTTGTGGCTGAGGAGGGCTGGAAGTGGCAGAGGGAGGGATGGCTTTGGGATACACGTTCCTCACCCCTCACCACCCACTTAACAGATCCCAAAGGTCATTCCAAGCAGTGACTGGTTCCTCTCAGACTTGGATTTATGGGGAGCATCTTCTGCTGCAGTAGAAAATCAGGAGATGCTTCGTGTGCCTGTTGGAAGAGGCTCGGCGGGAGCAGCACAACTGCTCCAGAGCCTCTGCTCCCTCCTGCTGTTGGGATCATGGAATCAGAGCGTGGTTTGGGTTGGAAGGGACCTTAAAGCTCACCCAGTTCCACCCCCCTGCCATGGGCAGGGACACCTCCCACCAGACCAGGGGGGTTTCCCTCCCCACAGCCGCGTTAACTGACCCCAGAAGCGGCCGCTCGTTCTCGTGCAGAACCTTCACAGGGTTGGGTTTTTTTTTTTTTCTTCTTTTTCCTGTGGTTTCCTTGATCTCAGAGCACCTTCTTACAACACCTTCTTACAAGAGCTTGTGAAAATGGTCCTGTGTGTGCTGAGTCAGAGCTGCTGAGATCAAACCTGTGACTCGTCTTTCCGCTCCCGTCCGGTGCAATCCCGGCGCGGTCGTGGCCTTCCCTCGCTGACAGGGGAGCAGAGAGCTCTTCCTCTGCCTTCATCATGGAATCACAGCCTGCCTTGGGTTGGAAGGCACCTTAAAGGTTGTTTCATTCCACCCCCTGCCACGGGCAGGGACATTTCCACTCTCCCAGGTTGCTCCAACCTGGCCTTGGACACCTCCAGGGACGGGGCAGCCACAGCTTCTCTGGGAAATCCATCCCAGCTTCTCCCCACCCTCCCAGGGTGGAATTCCTTCCCAATATCCCATCTAACCCTGCCCTCTGCCAAGTCATTTGAAGTCATTCCCCTTTGAGCTGTCACTTTATCCTCATTATTAACCTGCAGGTGGGATAAATTCTGTTCCAAAGCAGAGCTCCCCTTGATTTTACTTCTCCCAGCACCCAGGACTTGCTCACACGCTTCCCGTGAGTTGTTCTTTTTTTCCCAGGTGTTCCACCCTGACTCCCTGCCTGTTTTTTTTTTCTTTCTTGGCAGCTGATTCACCTGGAAATCAAACCTGCCATCAGGAACCAGATCATCAGGGAGCTGCAGGTGCTGCACGAGTGTAACTCCCCCTACATCGTGGGGTTCTACGGGGCCTTCTACAGCGACGGGGAGATCTCCATCTGCATGGAGCACATGGTGAGAGCAGCCCCTCCCCTTTTATCCTTCCAAATTCCACCTCCCCTGCCAGCTTGGGGCACTGGCAGCTGTGCTGGCTCCTTGCTCTGCTCCTGGTGGGAGCCACAAACTCCCGCTCGGGCCTCGAATCGAGGGGGGGAGAGAGAGAGAGAGCGACTTTTGGGGAAGAGGAAGCAGAGGTTTGGGGGTTGGCCAAACGGAAATGTTGCCAACCCACCGCCCTCCAGAGCCTGCTGAGAAGCTCAGTGAGCACAGTGAGGCTGTTTCTGGTGGCAAATAAACACTATTTCTCCTCCAAATCAGCACCAGCAGCATCATCCCTGCGTTTCCACAAAGAACCATCCGGAGCTGGTAGAAAACCAGCATTAAAAATGGTTTTCAAGTGATAAAGTCGAGCTCAGATCAGCAGAAATCTCTCTCGGTGCTGAGGGTGCTCTGTGCTGCTTATCCACCACTGCCCAGCTCTTGTTTTCCAGCTGGGAATTGGCCTGTGGGTCATTCCCAGCGTTCTCCCATTTTAGGATGGCGGCTCTTTGGATCAAGTGTTGAAAGAAGCCAAAAGAATTCCCGAGGAGATCTTGGGCAAAGTCAGTATAGCGGTGAGTTATGGTGGCTCCTCAGGCCTCCAGGGAGGATTTCCTGGGAATGCTGGGGTTGCCTCAGGAAGCTCTTTGCCTTTCCCCACATGCACTTCCCAATCCTGACCTGGGGCAGGAGGCCAGTGCGTGTGCCAGAGGGGAGGGCAAAGCATATTCCCAAGCACTTTTCCCAGCTCCAAGCCCTTTGGGTTCCTCTGGGTGGTGTTGGATTCTCCTCAAGAGGGGGTCAGGAGAAGCTTTTTTGGGTGGTTAAGCCAAGCTCTGGGATGGGCTCTCTGTGATAAACTGCAAACCCTGAAACCTGTGTGCACCACGGGGCGGTTTCCTCCCCCTGCAGCGTGTCCTGAGGGAGGGAAAGCTCTTCCCTTCCCAGCTCTGATCTCACCCAGCCTCTGGATTCCTCCCAGGTTTTACGAGGCTTGGCGTATCTGCGGGAGAAGCACCAGATCATGCACAGAGGTGAGAGGAGAGGAGCCTAAAAATAGCTGCCCCGCAGTGCAGGAGCCCCGGGGGGGGTCACCCCCTTCACTCTGCCCTCCCTGGCATCTCTTCCCAGATGTGAAGCCCTCCAACATCCTGGTGAATTCCCGAGGGGAGATCAAGCTGTGTGATTTCGGGGTCAGCGGGCAGCTCATCGACTCCATGGCCAACTCCTTTGTGGGAACTCGGTCCTACATGTCTGTAAGTTCCTCCCAGATGGGGTTTTTTTTTTTGGGGGGGGAGGGGGGCATTTGGGTTCAACAAAACAGAACCGGGGTGGGGATGGTTTGCTCGTGGCTTCGCTCTGAGTTTCCACCCTGGTTTGTTTTGGGGTGAGCCTTTGGAAGTGGGAGGAGAGACCTCATCTTCTCAAGGACTTGGTGGCCTCTCAGCTCCAGCCTGTGCTTCCCCAAGCACGTGGAGATGCACAGACTTGCAGGGAAAGACATTTCAGATCCTACAAATTCCAGGCACGGGGCAGCCACAGCTTCTCTGGGAAATCCATCCCAGTCCCTCCCCACCCTCACAGCCTGGAATTCCTTCCCAGTATCCCGTCTATCCCTGCCCTCTGGCAGTGGGAAGCCATTCCCTGTGTCCTGTCCCTCCCTGTTTTATTTCAGTGCGTTTTTGGGGGTTCAAAAAATCCCTTTCTGCGTGCAAAGCTCTGTACAAAAACCTGGTGCAGATCCACCCACCTCCTCTGGGGGTAAACAGGGGTAAACCCACTTCAGTGCAGCTGGGATTTGGTGCAGGCTACTGGGAAATTAAAGCCAAACTGGAACCAGCCAGTGAGAGTGAACCCAGAATGGATTGGGCTGGAAGGGACCTTAAAGCCCATCCAGTCCCATCCCCTGCCATGGGCAGGAACACCTCCCACTGGAGCAGGTTGTTCCAAGCCCTGTCCAACTTGACCTTGAAGAATTCCTATGAGAGAGCACCTGCAAGAACAAAATTGGTGCCCAAAATTCAGGGGGTGGGTGGGGGTGTCAGGGCAGGCCCCACACTGCACTTGAGCACTCAGGTCTGAGCTGCTCTCGTATTTTGGGAATGGTTAGTCAAGTCCAGTTATAGTTAGACTGGGGGCTATTTAAAAATAAGATCCCCTTTGCACCCAGGCACTGGCTCCAAGCTGCCTCGGAGCTGCCAGTGGGGATGACTTGCAGGGATGGATTTATTTTTAATTTTTTTTTTCCCTCTCTCGACGGTAAGAGCCTCGTGTGGACTTTTTGCTCCTGGATGTGAAACAGGGATGAGCAGGAAAATCAAACTTCTGTTAATCAGTTAGATTTCAGCACACAGAAAGATTCCTGCTGTGTGTTCCACGTTCCCAAACATCAGCAGCTGTAAATGCTGCTGAGCTGGAGCTGTGGATGAGGTGCTACAAGTGCTTTATGTCTGCACATGATGCTTCTTTTCCATCCTGTTTGCCCGTGACCCTTTTGGGACCGCCCTTTCCCTGGAAGGGTGGAGTCTTGGAATGGAGAGACCATTGGGATATCACGGAATCAAGGAGTGCTTTGGGTTGGAAGGGACTTTAAAGCCCATCCAGTCCCACCCCCTGCTGTGGGCAGGGACACCTCCCACTATCCCGGGTTGCTCCAACCCGGCCTTGGACACTTCCAGGGATGGGGCAGCCACAGCTTCTCTGGGAATTCCATCCCAGCCCCTCCCCACCCTCACAGCCAGAAATTCCTTCCCAATATCCCATCTATCCCTGCCCTCTGGCACTGGGAAGCCATTCCC